CATGCCAGTTAGCGAGCCGGTGGATGCTCGCCCTGCCACCTAGTCAAGTCCCACAGTCTAGTCCCGTCCCTCTCCATGTCCCGTCCCTCACCTAGTCCCACAGCCTTGTCCCATGCCAGGTCCCGTGCCCCGCCATGCCAAGTCACACGCCATGTTCCACGCCTTGTGTTTGTTCCCTCTGTTCCTGATCCCCCCCACCCTCCCGTGGTCCTCATGTGTGTTTAGGGCCGTCTGGGAGCCGTCCCTTAAGGGGGGGGCTCTGTCACGTCTGGGGGAATGTTTGGTGTCTTGTCTTGTCTTGATTACCTATTGTGTACACCTGAGGTTCCCCTCCCTCATGTGTTTAAATAGTCCTCGTTTCCCCTTGTCTGGTGCGAGTGCGTTTTCGTCCTTTTCGTCCTTCTGGTTTCGTCTGTTTTCGTCGTCTGTCTTTCGCCACCACCACGTCACGCCAGGTTTGCTTTTTTTGCCATAGTCTTTTACTTTGTTCCATAGTCATAGTTTTGCCACAGTCTTGTTGTTCTTTATTTTGTTACTTTGCCATTGTCATTGTTTTACCACAGCCTTGTCACAGTTTTGTTCATCTTTATTTTGTTACTTTGCCACAGTCTTGTTTACTTATTGCTTTGATACTTTGCTCACAGTTTTCCACAGCCTTGATTTGTACTTTGTCTGGACATTCACTCACTCATGAGTGTTTTTTTGTTACAATAAACCTTGTTTTACGTCATCTCCACACCTGAGTCCTCCCTCAAGAACCCACCTTCCTGACATGAGGGAAGGGACCCCAGGTGTACACAATAGGTAATCAAGACATAACACACCAGACATTCCCCCAGACGTGACATAGAGCGATATGTATACAATTGTGAACTGTACATTAAATGACATTGGTTGGGCTAATGTGACCAGGATGAAGCTGACTCTTTTGGCCTCTCGCCCGTTGAACACTGGGATAGGCTCCAGTTCCCCCCGCGACCCCATGAGGGAATAAGCGGTATTGATAATGGATGGATGGATGGATGGAAATGTTTTTTAAATTGCACACCTTTTTTTATTTTATTATATTCACTTACATTGATATTTTAAAAACAAAAATACTACATGTGCCCCTAGGTTATTTAGTAAACATGAAGCTTCATCAGCAGATTAGCAGTTAGCATTGGCACAAGTAAAGAGAAACAGCTAACTTAGATTTTTCAAAAGCTTGAGGAAAATAATCTTTGGAATTTTTTTTATCTTGATCCATTCGAAACTGTTAAAACATCACAATTTACATATATTTAGCAGCCTTTGGGGGCGGCACGGTGGTGTGGTGGTTAGCACTGTCACCTCCCAGCAAGAGGGTTCTGGGTTCGAATCCCGGGGGAACCAGGACCTTTCTGGGTGGAGTTTGCATGTTCTCCCTGTGTCTGCGTGGGTTCTCTCCGGGTTCTCCGGCTTCCTCCCACAGTCCAAAAACCTGCATGTTAGGCTGATTGGAGATTGGGGAAATTGCCCTTAGGAGTGAATGTGAGTGTGTGTGGTTGTTTGTCCTTGTGTGTCTCTGTGTGGACCTGCGATGGACTGGCGGAGTGTCCAGGGTGTACCCTGCCTCTCGCCCGTTGACCACTGGGATAGGCTCCAGTTCCCCCCGCGACCCCATCAGGGAATAAGCTGTATTGATAATGGATGGATGGATCGATAGCAGCCTTTGGATTTGTAAAAAGTGGTGAGCACTTTCTACAAATAGCAAGACGGTTGTTTGCTACAAACAACCGTCTTGCTCTTAGCCCCAGCTAACTGCAAGACAGTTTCTGGTTCACACAGGCATTTCTGTGTGAGTTTGCATAATCTCCGTGTGTATGTGTGGATTCCTCCCACCAACCATCAGGTTAATTCTGTGTGGTTGTTTGTGTCACCCTGCCATGGCGTGGCAACCTGTCCAGGTGGTACCCTGGCTCTAGCCCAATGCCAGCTGTGATAGGCTGTATTCCACTCTAAACTTTAAATGCAGCTCAAGCTAATCACATCAATATTATGTCAGTTTTTACTTTAGTGCAGGGTGTACTGTGTCTTTTTCTACATTCATTCCTGATGATAAATCTTTTATACAAAGTTGTTCCTCCCTATATTTTTAAATAATATTTTTATGACCCTTTTCGCACAACTGTTGACAGTTTAGTAATCGTTTTGTTGAGTCAAATTAAAGAATCAGAAGCAAGGAGTTAAGGGTAATGTATTTTTTTCCTTTAGTTTTTTACATCAGAGGATAAACTGGGGGAAAAATATCAAAATCTATGTGTACTTCTGTGTGTGGGTTTGTGTCACTAAAGATCCAATCTGAGGTGGAAGTTGAACCAGGGAATGATGAGGTGGCGCTTTCCTTCCTTTCTTCTTCTTCTTCTTCTACTTCTTCTTCTTCTTCTTCTTCTTTTATGCTTATCCTTTACCCTAACAGGCTGAATGCATTCCATTCTCTTCTGTGTGAAGAAAAAAAAGGCAGACACATGGATAATGTGAAGGTATCTTAAGTGTGTGTGTACGTGTGTGTATGAAACAGAGAGAGAAGGAGAGTAGGAGTGAATTAGAGGCTTACTTGGCCAGCGTCAGACTATGCAACGTGTCTGCTGCTGGTGGATCAGATGGCGGAAAGCTGCTGCTCTGTGTTTCCTTGCTGCTCATCTGCTCCATAATGTCTGCTCTTTGCTTAATTACAGCTCACCTGCAGCCGGGCCGGCGCTGCACACAGAATTCTGGGTGGGGGGCACAAGAGAATTACCCATATAAACCTTTATTTGGACTGGGGGAAAGGTAGCTGCTAAAAAAGGCTTTTATTATTTTGAGCCAATAACAACCATAATGTCCGCAAACCCCACAATTGTGCAGGTATGTGAAGACAGAGGCAGCATCAGCCATTCAGTCAAAAATGTAACGGAAAAAAAAACATCTGGTTAGCTAATAAGTGTGTATATATATATATATATTTTTTTTTTTGCATTTTCCTTTTAGCAAATAAATGTTCTTATCAACTTCCTGTTAAGTGATGATAACGACCATTTCTTTACAAAGTCCCAAGAAACTAGCTCATCAAATGCTGGTTCATCAACATGTAAATGTTTCTTAACCCTGTAATACCAACTGTATCATATTTGATACATACGGTTTCTGAAGTGCTTTGCATCTGACACCTTTTGTATCATTTGATGGTAAAAACTTTGTTCAAAATCCTATTGTACACAATCCGATATACCTGATAACAGGGGGCAGACGAATACATAAAAATAATCTTGACTCATCGCATAGTATTAAATTATTTATATTAAAAATGTATTTCTGTTTTTTATTTTTACATATTCAGTTAAAAGGCCAAATAAAGACTTCAAACCAAAAATAAGGCTTTAAAGGGTTAATGGTTTGCCAAAACACACAGGAGCACAGGGTTTTGAACATTGAGTTGTTGGGCAGTAATTGTTGAGCTTCTTTAAAATAACTTCAGAGTACGGTCTGGACCTGCTCTTTATGAAAAGCGCAGTGAGATAACTGTTCTTGTGATTTGGCGCCATGTAAATAAAATTGAATCGAATTGAGTTATATGCCAATGGATTAAGCAAGTTGTCTGTTTATTTATGTATGGTATCAGATTTGGTATTGACTATGTCTACAAACTGTGCAAACTGTACAGTACTGATTATGAGAGACCATAACACCACCTAATGAGTCATTCAGACATAATTTGGCATCAGAGTGGGGAGGTTATCCAACCATACTAGTTCCATTTGGAACAAGCCTGAAATGCTGTTTCATCACAATTATTTGCCACTCTTGAAGCTGAAAAAAATATTTTATGATAACAATGAAACACCATCACTTGCAGATATCTCTTATCTGTGTATTTGCTGGATGAAATTCAGAGCTTTTCAAATTGAAATAAATTGCTACGAATCTCTCTACACAATCCAAATTTTAACTCAATATATCAATTGGTGTCACAATTCAGTCAGTTTCGCCTCTTTCACTATATAAAATTGGGAAGTGAAATAAATTGCTACTTGTTGGACAGATTATTTGACCTATTTGACCATAGGAAGGCAATCATAAGCAGCTTAACAAATGTTAAAACGTTTGATTTCGATAAGATGTATTGTTTCCTTTTAGACCCTCTTTAATTCTCCTCCAGGGTGTAATTTGGTCAAATTGTTTAATGAATTTATCAGTATCTTTCTATTCTCTATTTGATTCTGTAACTGACATGATTAGTCCTGTAAGTAAAAAAATAAAAATCAAACGTATATCTTGGCATGTGGAAATAATTTACAATTTACATAAAATTCTTAATCCCCACCAAAAAGGGTGGTGACCAAGATGTAATGAGTTGACAACAGTTTAATGTTTGACCATCGTTTTATTTTTAAACAAATAGTAATTGTGTTTGGAAAAGATAATGGTCAGGAAAGTCATCCTCAAAAGCTCTTTGATCTAAATATGAGTGGAATTCTTTATTAACTGTAATTTGTCGTTGAGTTGTTTGTTGGGTTCTATGTACATGTTATTCGAATTTTATATGAAAAGGATGATATCATACTCTAAGAAAGTTAGGGGATTTAAAGGCAGACAAACAGTCGATGTTAAAAAATGTTATAAAGAAGTTTATACAGTCAGTATAGAAGTTTTTCGACTGAAATGATCAGATGTGCATTAAGGGGAATGTAAACAACTTTCCTCATTGTCTCTGACCTTGTATGGATTTGAATACACTGATGGCTAAATTCAACCAACTCGCAAACACAAACACATATGATCTGAAATAGTTTTGTTACAGCCATAACATATATGTCTTATATTCCAAGGTATTTTCTTTTAAAGAAAAGCCCCCACCATTTTCCAACTTGCTTATTTTCACCTCAGATCTTGTTTTTTGTTTCAAATTAGAACAACCAACTTTTCTACTGGATAAGAACCATAGCCTATTTTACCACCATACTACAAAACGAATGTAAATGTAAACTTAATAATTTCCCCTCCGGATACTCCGGATAACTCAAAACATCCAAAAACATGCATATTAGGTCAATTTAACACTGTGAATTGTCCCAAGGAGTGAATGTGATGTGTGTCATTAATAAAAAATTGCAACTCTAAATCAGTGATATCAATCCAAGATCAAATGAAAACGTCATTCAGTGGAATAATAACTCACCTGGTGCTATTTTTTAACGTCGATCACAGTCCTGTGATCCTTCAAAGAAGGCTCTTTTGCAGTGATTTCCATCAGTGATTCATACTTAATTATGAAGATTTGTATACACTAAATTCAAATAAACCTTTATTGACACATTCTGAACAGATTAATTCTTCAGTATCGATTGAATTTTGAGAATTCATGAATATGTAGTGTTCATGAAGTTCAAAAAATGTACCACTTCCCAGGATGCATTATCATAGAGTGGTTTCCTGTTGCATCTCCATCAATCAAGTTGTGCTTGTTGAGACAGAAAATAAAGCTCAAAGTTAGGCTAGCAATACAGATAATAAAAACAAAAGTCTCTATCCTTAAAGCTATCAAATACCACGTCAAATGTTCTTTTCGCCTTTAAAAATAAGTCTTGTTCAACATTTGATCATAAGTTAATTGACACAAAAAAACATTATTTAGTTGACTGTGTTTTTTAGACAGGGACAATATTTGAATTAATGGGTAGTTGTTGACGACAAAAACACAAAGTTGCCATTCTATCTTTCAGTGTTGTTGTGAAACTGAACTCATACACAGTGAATAAAACTGATGTGACTTCTCAACCAATAGGTATCAGAAACAGGAACAAAAACACAAGATAAGCTCCTACATGCCAAGTCAAACACTTTTAAGCCTGTAGCTATGATCAGGCTATGTTAACAGTCTGTCAGCTCAAACCACACTAACACTCTGAGAAACTAAAAAAACTGTGACAGAGCTGCAACCCAAAACTGACAAAGCCAAAGCAGAAGTCCAGCACAAAGTGACTGGAACGGAAACAAATATTTGTAAACAGGAGCCTCCTTCTGAATCCAAATTGGAATTCAAATTAAACCAAAGCAAATCAGGAAGAAGACCACAACCAGAAACAATATCAGGATTAAACCCCTGGTTGCTGCAGAAGGAGATCCTCCTCCAACCGCCTAGTGCTTCTGTGGATCAGGTTTCCTTCTGCTCAGACGCCCCCCTTCCTCTGATCCAGACTCCAACCCTACTGCTGTGCAATTATAGAAGGAGGGCCGTGCTGTTTTTTCCTTAGTGTTTTTTTTTTTCTTTGAAGAAGGCGACTTTTTTTTGTCTTCCCTAAACGTGAGCACCAGCAGCGGGGTAATGAGGGTGCGTCCTCTGGTCCCTCCAGTACCTCCCAGTTCTTCAGGCTCCCATATAAAAGCCCTGGTGGAAAATGAGTGTAGGCAGTAGGGAGTTTTCTGCTGGGGTCAGGAGGACTTTGGACAGACGAACGGATCCTGCCCCAAAACACCCGTGTATGAGTGGAGTGTAGCAGAAAGAGAAAACATCCCCAACCTTTTCTTTCCACTCTTGCCTCAAAGAGTCTACATGTCTAGTGGCATCTAGACATGTTCAGCTTTGTGGATTTTCGGATAGCGCTGCTGCTCAGCGCAGCAGTGCTCCTGGTCAGAGCGCAGGGCGAGGACGACCGTAAGTTTTCGCACTGTTTATGGAAAGATTTTCATACTGCTCTTTTTCCACTTTTTTCCCCTGGTTTTTGAAAGCTGGATATTCTTCTTATGGCAGCTGCTGAACTATTAGACAGAGTAGAGGAGGAGGCAAAATTCCCAAATGTCCTCAAATGCATTTTTGTCTCAGATAGATAGATAGATAGATAGATAGATAGATAGATAGATAGATAGA